CGCCCCTTAGCTGTTATAAATTCACTGTAAACCACGGCTTCTTGGGGCTTATTGCTTTATTACGATATTATCGCAGACGATATATATCGCACACCCCTACTTCACATGTGTGTGTGTGTGTCGTCAGAGGTGTGTTTTGCGAGCGCAGAGACGGGCCCCTGCAGGGCCATGTTGGCCCGCTGGTATTTTGTGCGTGAGGAGGGCCGCTGCGCTCCCTTCATCTACGGCGGCTGCGGAGGAAACCGCAATAACTTTGAGTCGGAGGAGTACTGTCTGTCCGTCTGCAGCAGCGTCTGTAAGTCACCAACCGAACAACTGACAGCGTGAGCCACTAACACCAATGAACCTTCACTCACTCGCTCCTCATGACCACCAGACCCATAATGCACTGCCTGAGCCACGTTCTTCAGCGAAACACACAAGACAGCGCTTAGCAGGATTTTCTGTTCATATGAGGCCAGCACTATATCTTGGATCTTCTAATATTATGATACTTCTCCTGTGAAAAAACAGTGCGATGAATCAAATTATATGTGCACTTGTAGTGTACTTCAAATCTGTTTTTAAGATAATATGTGACCCTGGAGCACGTTAAGTCGCTTAAGTCGCTGGGGTATATTTGTAGCAATAGCCAACAATACATTGTATGGGTCAAAATTACTTTTATGCCCCAGATTTTCAAATAGTTGTATCTCAGCCAAATATTGTCCTATCCTAACAAACCATACATCAATGGAAAGATTATTTATTCAGCTTTCAGATGATGCAATTAAATTAAACAGAAATTTTTTTCAACATACTAAAAAAAACAACAACAATTTAAAGCAGTATTACACTTATTGTTTTTATGCTTTAAACCCTTTTTCGTCTTTGACCCACATACATACAATTGTTTTTGTTAGTTCAAATGAATGAAAATTAGAAACGTTGCTTTGGCAACTAAGTGAAATTAACTAATTTCAAGTTTTTTTTATTTTTATACTACAAATATTTCTTAAATACAAGAAAATATACAATTGAAAAAGCACATAAAATTACTAAAAAATAAACTGAAATGAAAAAAGGCTACTATAAAATAAAGCAATAATCCCAGTGAAGCCGTGGTTTACAGTGAATTTATAACAGCTAAGGGGCGTTGTTAGGTAAATTCACTGTAAACCACGGCTTCACGGGGGTTATTGCTTTTATAAAACGGTTATTCCATATACGTAGTAAGGTTTCACAAAATAAAACAGAGCAAATAAAGTGTAATGATATTAATAAAAACAGTATTCTTCCACCAAACAATGTAGCTCCTCAGAAACAGTTGTGGTTGCAACAAAGTGGTTGCCGAGCAACACACAAACGTAAACAAAGGTGTATGTTACTTTGTAGAGTCATTTACAACAGCTTCGAACGCGGCTCAGCCAATCAGAATCAAGGACCGGAACTCTCTGTTTTATAAATAATCCTATAATATCCCTGATTTCCTAGAATGATGTGTCAGTGAGTGTTGATGTCTTACAGCTCGTATGAGGCCGGTGCCCGTCTCCATTGTGCTGAGGCGCGTGTCTCCGATCTTCACAGCCAGGATCTGAGCTCCTGGAGCGACACCGTTCCGCTCGGGTTCATCGGGGAAGTGACCCGCTGCGATGCTGGCGACATGCGTCCCATGAGCCCCTGCAAACGCACGCTGATCAGTGTAAAGCCTCTTAATGATAAGCATTTACAATATACAATTAATTATCATCATCAGTCTCACCTCCGCTGGTGACGATACACAGAGTGTTTCCCTCATCATAGATGTTTATGGAGTAATTGAGCATCTCGGCGTATCCCAGTGTGGCGTATTCCTGTCGTTCTCGATAAGAGCTCAGGATGGTGCAAGACGACAGGTCTCCGGTCTCAGACGTGTCCACCACAGCCCTGACACACACACAATCATCTTACTAATGCACTGAAAATGTGTTCACCCTCAGGCCATCTGAGATCAGGATGAGTTTGTTTCTTCATCAGGTTTGTAGAAATGTAGCATTGCATCAGTGTCTCAGCAATGGATGCTCTGCAGTGAATGGGTGCCGTCAGAATGAGAGTCCAAACAGCTGATAAAAACATCACAATAATCCACAAGTAATCCACAGCACTCCAGTCCATCAGTTAACATCTGGAGAAGACAAAAGCTGAAACTAATCCAGCATTAAGACGTTTTTAACTCAAATACATAGAGTCCATAATCCATAATAACGCTTCCTCCAGTGAAAAAGTGCATCTGCTGTTGTCTCTCGCATCAAAATCCAGCCACATATTCGTTTAGAGCCGTTTAAACGCTGCTTTATCTGTGCAGATTTCTCTCCTGATTCACACCAGAACACTTTTTCACTGGAGGAAGCGTTATTATGGATTATGGACTCTATGTATTTGAGTTAAAAACGTCTTAATGCTGGATTAGTTTCAGCTTTTGTCTTCTCCAGATGTTAACTGATGGACTGGAGTGCTGTGGATTATTGTGATGTTTTTATCAGCTGTTTGGACTCATTCTGACGGCACCCATTCACTGCAGAGACACTGATGCAATGCTACATTTCCACAAATCTGATGAAGGAACAAACTCATCCTGATCTCGGGTGATCTGAGGGTGAGCTCATTATCAGCACATTTTCATTTTTGCGTGATCTATTCCTTTAAAGCTGGAAAATGCTCAGACCTCCATGTGACGCCGTCATGCCACGATATACAGTCATAAACCGGCCCTGGATCACTGTACTTCTTCTCCAGGGCTCCTAACAGCTCCATGTGACACTGTAGTTCCTCCTTCTGTAGCTTCTCCATCTGACAACAGAAACTCACATTTATTTTAAGCCATATTCAACACGCAAAACAATCAGAAAGCACCGTACAATAACACCTTATTTTCTCATGCTTTATTTTTATTCGAGCATGCAAATCGCAGCAGCGGTCTGACCTGTGATGGGTTTGGGTGGGTCTGGTCAAACTCTTCTATCCCGCGACTGGCCTCAGCGAGAGCTGCTCTGTGTGCTGGATCCCACAGCTTCTCCTTACGCTCTTTCTGAACCGCCAGACATCGGACTTATTATGAATAAACAAGCCATGCATTTGTTTGTGCATATAACATCAGCGCTGACAAATAATCATGCGTTACCTGTATTCTCTCTTTGAGAGCTTTAGGGAAAAAATCATAACCGTTCTTTATTCCGATGTGATACTTCCCAGACGGATTGACCCAAGCAGCAGGAATCTGGAGAGAAACGGGAAACCTTTAGTGCTACTGAAACGCTACGGTCTGGCTATTAAAATAATATAGAGGAGTGAATCCCATGAGAACATGTCTGACTCATATTTTGCCCCAGTTTAAAGTAAATATATCTCTTTAAAAATGATTCTTATTTAATTTTTTGATGTGTTTAATAAGATGTGGACCCCCTTTATACAATTTGATATTATAATACAGATGACTGTGAATCAATCCCTGATGTGATTTTTTGTTGTTGTTGTTTTTTTTATTGTGTGTGTGTGTGTGTGTATATATATAGTCACATGATCTTCAGAAATCATTCTAATATGCTGATTTATTATATTATATTATTATATATTATATTATATTATTATATTAATATACACTACCGTTCAACAGTTTGTGGTCGGTAAATTTTTATTCTTTCTCTTTTTGAAAGAAATTAAAACTGTTATTCAGCAAGGATGTGTTAAATTGATAAGAAGTGATAGCAAAGATTTATATTGTTAGAAAATATTTATATTTTGAATAAATGCTGTTCTTCTTAACTTTTTATTCTTCAAAGAATCCTGAAAAAAGTATCAGTTTCCCAAAAAATATTTGGCAGCACAACATTGCTAATTCTAATAATAAAGCAGCATATTAGAATGATTTCTGAAGATCATGTGACACTTTATACTGGAGTAATGATGCTGAAAATACAGCTGCGCATCACAGAAATAAATTATATTTTAATGTATATTAAAATAGAAAAACATTATTTTACATCATAATATTTCACAATATTAAATTTTTTCCTGTATTTTTTATCAAATAAATGCAGTCTTGATGAGCAGAAGAAACTCCTGTAAAAACATTAAAAATTGTTCTGATGCCAAACTTTTGACCGGTAGTGTGTGTATATATATATACACATGTATATATAAATTATACATGTATATAAAAATATGCATGTAGAATAAAAAAAAATGCATGAGGGAATATTTTTAAATGACAAAAATTACATTGTTTACATTTTTGTATACATTTTGTACTATATATTTTAAATTAATTAAAATAATTTAAAATACAGCTCCACTGCAGAAAATATTGCACTAGGAAATGAGTATCGCCTTTGGGAATAATAAGAACCTAAACCTAAAAAGTAAAACATTCGGTACAACGCAAAGTAATGAGAGAATGATTGGTTTGTGTTTTAACGCCATGCCAGCTTCCCTGGCTATTTTCAGTTAGAAACACTATGAAAGAGAATTTTTATAAAACCTATACAAGTTTGCTTTGGATTTACAGTTCTTCGAAAGTGTGTTTATAGAGTATATTTGCATTGAAAATTAAAATGAAAACGTCATAATGAAACAGGCTGCATTTTCTAAATCCTCTTATTTTCTCTGTTTTGATTTTAGGGTGAAACACGAGACCCAAACATGTTATTGTGCTGTTCACACAGATACAGTTTAGTAACCTGAGCATCTGAAAGCTTGTGTGAACTGTGATGAATGACAGCGTCTCTTAATATAAATGTGCTTCTCTTACTCGTAGCGTGCGTCCGCTCAGTCCGGTCACGAGCCCATCCTTCACCTCCACCTCACTGGACATGTTCACGTCGCCGCTGCCCGTCGTGTCAATGATGTCCACGATCTTGGGTTTCCCGTCCGTCGTAGTCTACGAGAAAGAGCATGAGACACAGTTCAGCATCAGTCTGGAGTCAGACAAATCATATCAGATTCACAGCAGGATGCGTTTGAAAACTACAGTCTGTATATTATGATAAATGATCTGTGTATGAGTGCACAGATCAGCTCACATGATCCAAAGTGTTGCCATATGAGCATTACAGAGTCATTCTTCTTCATTGTTTTTATTTTATTTAAGTGTAAATTGAACATGCATGCATGTATGGAAGGGTGAGTGCTCGTATACCTGTTCTGGTGTTCTATTGTTACAATATGTCTATTTCTTGCAGGGTCATAAATTAAAAAAAAAAGTAAAACGACCAAAAAAGACAGAAACAAAACATCACATAAATGAGTGAGAGCTCAAAACAGCTGCTGGATCCGCTTACAGATTAATTTCACAACACAATGTTCTATTGTTACAATATGTCTATTTCTTGCAGGGTCAAAATAAAAAAAAAAAAGTAAAACGACCAAAAAAGACAGAAACAAGACATCACATAAATGAGTGAGAGCTCAAAACAGCTGCTGGATCCGCTTACAGATTAATTTCACAACACAGCCATCATGTGTTTTAGGTGAACACTAGCTATAGCACACAAAACAGCCCTAACTAGTTGTGCCTTGAGACCTAGCGAGCTCCCTACATAGACAGCACTATAATGTTGTCTATGTAGGGAGCTCGCTAGGTTTTGAAACACAGCCTTTGTCATTTATAATGGTTCTTTGATGTCTAACATGATAAATGAGTACTATATTAATTTATCATGGTGTTTTCTCATATAATGTTGCTTAGAAACACAAAGAAACTGTGGCATACTCCTTTGTAAGCGAGAGTCGTTGATGAGGATGACACAGCTTGTCCTTTCAAACGTGTAGTTTATGTTTTTAACAGCTTTATTCAGCTGATTTACTTCACATGTGTTAGTGCTTCGTTGTTTAGTTATGACAGTGGAATTCTGGTAACGTCTAGTATTTGTGGTCCCTTAAACGGGAGAAAACCGACTGCGGCCTAGTGATGAACCGCAGCCGCGGGCTCGATTTACCTGCATGCCCGGGGCACCTGGGTCCACCCCGGTGTCGAGGATCGCGATGAGCACCCCTCGGCCATCGTACTCCGGGAATTTTGTGAGGAACGAAGCAGCGCCGGTCTCTTTTTTCGGAAGCAGCCCGTGGAACGGGAACGGCTCTTCGGCGGAATGTGCAGACATTACCGTACAGAGCGAGAATAAAAGCACAACACGGCAGCGGCGGACCGGTATATCGACACAATGTGCGCGACAGCCGAGCGACTCTCTTAAAGGCGCAGTACCACTCAATCTCAGTCACCGTAAACATACAGAGTGCTGGGAAGTAACTTGTTACATGTAACTAAATAAATTACAAAATAAATGTAATTGTAATCAGTTACAGTTACTGAAAAAAATGTGTAATTAAATTATAGTTATGAAAATGTTAATGATTGCAAAGGGGGTTACATCTGATTTAATACATACAGATTTAATTGATTTCTTTCATAAATTGCATCGACTGCTCTAATATATGAGACATCAGTGTTTCAGGAGTTTAGGACACAGAATAGGACACATGCTTATTCGATAACTGTTTTATTTCCTATTTGGGTTTATGTATATACTTTTATTTATTTATTTATTTTTTAAGATTAACTGTTTTTTCCAAGCCACTGTTAGATGCCAGTGTTTTCTGTCATAGCTATATAAAGATTTGATTTCAAAAACAGTATCATAGCTACTAAACTACTTCTTGTTATGGCTTTAAATCAGTTTTTAACCTCAGAATGAGAAGTCTGATTTTGTGGCGACTGTGCTTTAAAATTAAATTAGTATAATCTTAATTCAAGTGATTAAGGATTTTGGAATTCTTGCACATATAATGACGTATTTAATAACTTATAATCTTAGTACAATAAAAGCCGTTCTCTACTGTTTTGCAGATATTACAGATATTTTTCTCTAGCATTACTTGAATGATTTCATCTTTCTGGTTGTAGTAGTCTCATTTATAAGTTTAAAAAAAATGATTATTTAATGTATTTTGTAACAAAATTATACTGTAATATCAAAATATATTATAAAATGTATTTTTTGACAAAGTTTGTATATCAGCACATTTTATGATTTATGATAAATAAATAAATAAATGTTAACAAAATTTATTTGAAGCATGCTGTAAATATATATATTGTGTAAACAGTTCTAAATTAAAATATATTATGTCAAAATGAAAACATTAAAAGGAATGTTACTTTTGAATGTTCTCTGAACGTTCTGAAAGACGTAGTAACATTTCAAAAGCGTTCCATGAAAGACATATAAATAATGTTTTTGTGCTAACATTTTGAGAACATTATTAAAGACCAGATAACTAAATAAACATTTTATTAATGTGACTGGAAGAATATTTTGTTCATAACTTTGAGAGAACCTTACCAGAATGGTAGTCAACGTTCTCTGTTTTTGGATATAAATGCATAAAAAAGAAAGAAAAATACATACTCAAAATTACTCTACATAAATTAACGTCTGTACTCCATTGAGTGCATGAGGTCAGAACACTGGAAATATAGCGCACGAGTCGTATGGAATGCTGTTTATAATGCTTTTTTTAAGGCATTTTTGGCGCTGGGTAATGTTTTTAACAGCATATGAGTCTAGTTTGGCAAACAAGACAGAATTGTAATTTTGGGGGGTAATATATTATTTTAGTTTTGCCAAAAATTGCTATAATTGACAGAAAAATGTGCTAGTAGTGAGATATTCAACATAACATGAAAGAAGATCAGGAATATTCGTCTCTATAGACTTACAGTGAATATGGTGATCTGGCAGTGTTTAGTTTCTGGTAATGTGCAATAGTCATTTGATGAGAAATATTCATAATGTGATCTCTGACATTTGACTACAGACCGTTTCAGACATTGCTGAGATCACTTGAGGAGACACATGAGAGATTACAGTGAGAGATATGAGAGTTTTTTTTACAGGAGAAACATCTGAGAAGCCAGATAATTCTGTCTCAGACGTCTCCGTTTGCTCTCTGTGTAATCTCAGTGCTGTCTAGGAGAACAGTGGAGTTAAAGGACAGATCTTTTTGTGATTTCTCCTTTTTTTACAGGAAAGACATGAATACAAAGTATCAGATCAGCACAATTACCACAACAGTGCAGTCATATTACAGGAATCTCTCAATGTAAGAAAGGGAAATAAAATAACTACCCAGCACATAATGACTTCTTGTGTTTTCTGTACTGTAGTATGAGAATCTGGGACAGAAGCGATTATAGAGACATATTAAAGCAGAACAACGGAGGCTTTATGAATATGGATTTTACTGCTGCATTTCCTGCATTTCATTTGGATGTGTTGTAGACACGAAACACTCCTCATTCTATCTAGAGAGATCATGTTAATCTCCATGTGGACATACTATCTCTGCTTTCTCGTCCTGAATCCAGTGTTCGCAGTGAAGCGTTACCAGCCTGCTGCGAGACATGCCAGCTCTGTCATTTTCTGTGTGTGTGCTGATCTCAACAGCTATTTCCAGCTCATCTCCATTGTTCCTTTGACTTGTGAGTGTGAGTTTATAATAAGAACATCTGTCCCTCACACCTTCACACAATTAGAGACAAACGACACTGAGAGGCCTCGTGCACACATCTGATGTGTGCGCACACATCTTACTAATGTTTTTGTCAATGATGTAAAAATAGAAGGGAAACAAATGTAGGTCAGGTGATCGGATATCAGATCACCACATTCGAAAGCGACTCAAATTGGATGTGAAAAATGTTTATATGCATGCAATTAGATTTGCAGTGGAATAATCAGGTTGACAGTGTAAATGTGGCCTATCAGACAGCAGATGAGTGCATGCTCATGTGCTAAATTAATAAATGCAAATCTTCCCTAATCACGTCATTCAACGGAGGAAATTCAAGACTTAGCCATTAAAGTACCATTTTTATGTGTGCTGAGCAGATTATCAATGCATTTGAACCCTATAAAGCCTGACATATGAAAGAATAGTCAGAAAAATCTATTTCAATGGAACAGTTTAGTGAAAATATTAAATAATACACTATACTAAAAAATCTAACGTTTGCGTATGTGTTTTATGTTGATATGCTTTTATGGTCGTATATTCTGATGTAGTGATAATATGGAGGAAAAGACCCAAACTGAGCAAAAATATGTAATTTTGTGCAAATGCTGATATTCTTATGCCAAAAAGTAAAATGAAATTCTGAAATGTAAATCAATGAGAACTTTATAACAGTTACATAAAATTATATAAACATCAGTCGTCACTCTGTATCTTCAATAATATGTCTTGATGATATTTAAATGATCAAAACATATAATGCAATGCAATGCAATGATGATTTTGACAGTGTAAATGTGGCCTAACATACACAAACGGGTGCTTTAAATAGAAGTGTGTGCTAAATTAATAAATGCAAATGTTCCTTTATATTTCCATACAACAGAGAAACAACATAGTACTGATCTAATAACATAACCAGTTCCCTGAGCAGATTTCAATGCATTTCAAGCATTAACCTCTGTTTTCTTACAGTTTTTTACGATTGCTTAAGCACAATTTTGAAAACAACACACACACACACACACACACACACACACACCACTGGTGGTTTACCACAGGGCGTTTTGACTCAAATAAAAACATCAAATAGACGGTTACATTGCCCCCATTACACACTGCCCTGCGTGTGTCTGTAAACTCCCTTCACTGGGAAATTTGCATGTGGCTGGTGCTTGTGTGTGACAAAGTATTGTTTGTCTGAGCATGCTTTGTATATGCGTCAAAGCGTGCTCATGTTCAGAAGTCTATCAGTTGCATTCATGCAGACGTCACCTGTTTTCACTGTTGCATGCTGACGCGCAGGATTGGAGCAATGCAATTAACTCTGGTGCTATTTTAAAAGGGTCAGACACTAATACCTACAGCCGTGGCTAATGGAAGCAGTGTGGAAACAATAGTCTGTTCTCAGCGTCTTCCTCTTCACCGCTGACAAAGACTGCCACCCGTCCTGGAAGGATGAAGCATCCGGCGCGAATTACAGTTCAATGAGCTTAAGTCTAACAGTTAGTCCAGCAAAGCCCACATGATAGAGGCCCAACAGTTGTAGAGCAGCTTCAGGGTCATTAAATCATCACCCTGAACTTCATGATCCTTCAGTAAGAGGCTCACAAACAAATCTGCAGTTTGTAGCCTAAATGGACGTGTGTCATGAGATCTGTTTCACAGGTTTAAATTACACTCTCGTCCGCTCTTCACAAGCCAGATGAGATTTCAATGACTGGTAACACACCAGATGAGCTTTCAGTGGATTGCACATCACGTTATTATAGCTCCATGTTGTTTTTTCAGTGTTTAAGCTTATTTTCAGCGAGCCTGTGATATATGTGACCCTGGAGCACAGTCTTAAGTGTCAATTTTTCAAAATTGAGATGTATACATCATCTGAAATCTGAATAAATCAGCTCTCCATTGATGTATGGTTTGTTAGGATCGGACAATATTTGAAAATCTGGAATCTGAGGGTGCAAAAAAATCTAAATATTGAGAAAATCATCTTTAAAGTTGTTCAAATGAAGTTCTTAGCAATGCATATTACTAATCAAACATTAAGTTTTGATATATTTACGGTAGGAAATTTACTAAATATCTTCATGGAACATGATCTTTACTTAATATCCTAAAGCAAAAAGCCCCAAGAAGTGAATTTATAACAGCTAAGGGGCGTTGTTAGGCACGACGCGAAAAAATAGCTGTTATAAATTCACTGTAAACCACGGCTTCACGGGGCTTATTGCT